CTGGTGTGCTTCTACTTTATGATTTGTTTATCAGTTCATTCTTCCCTCTATTCCAAACGTTATCATTTCCGATATTATTTGCCATACTCCGGTTGACGCTCTCCCAGCAATTCGCGATCTACTATAATGTTCACGACTCCATACCTGTATTATATTATGCAAGTCAACCATTCTGCCTATCTCTTATCGTCGAGTTTATTCCGACGCGACCATGCATGCCGCCAGTTTTTTCTAAATAGCAGCCAGTTGTTGATGTCCAGCTATCACTTATATGTAACGTTAGTATTCGAATCACGAGGACGTGATTGTATTTGAGAGGGGAGGTGTAGCGTTGGCACGCTGGGGACTTCAAAGCGTATAGCGTTTAGTGTATAGCATATCCCCGTACTGTATCCCCATACGTTAGCGTATCCCCGTACATTAGCGTACGGAGTCTGCCTTTGTATCAAACCTGCTGCTCACGATTCTTTTATAGCCAGTTAGTTAATTTAGTGGCCAATCAGTTAATTTCGTTGCCAGTACATTTCAATTGCCAGTTACAGTGTGTTCACTGAGACCCTTGTATTTTTGCCTCCGAGAGACTGCGACCCGCTACACTTTCACATGAAAATGCAGTGAAACTCTGCAGTGAAATGAGCTTTAATCAATGCAAACATTGAATGGATCCACGCCCCCACTCATAGTCAGGCCAAGAATGCAGTAAATTCATTGGAAACTGGCGCCCCAACATTTTGTGCTTTGTAGTTGTAGATCTAACGCCTTCTCTTCCTCCCTCAAGGTTTCGCAGCTTGATCGCCTACAGGTCCTGCAGAACCGAGCGGCGAGAGCGGTATACGGTTTGCCGCCTCACACCTCGGCTCAGCCTCTGCTCGAACGGATGTCCCTGTACAGAGTTCGCGAGTGCTACGCCCAAAAGCGGCTCGTCCTGGTGTGGCGCTGTGTCAATGGGAAAGCCAGCAGTGTCCTCCAGGACCTATTCTCACCATCAGCTGGCAGCACCACCCGGCACCAGGTTTCCAGGGGCCTCACTGTCCCCTCGGCACAGTCAGAAGCCGGCAGATCTCGCCTGGCCTTTCAGGCAGCCTTGGCCTGGAACGCTCTCCCAAGGAGTGTAAGGGAGATCAAGGCTGCCCAGCAATTTAAGCTTGCCTCCATCCCCTACACCTTGCAATGAATGCTCTGTCTGACTTTTCCCGCCCACACACCACGTCATTTACTCTTCTCTTCGTGCTTGTGCGCTTATGAACTCTTTGTGTTCCCTCTGTTGACGCTTCAAAATCGCTCTATTGACACTGCAAAATCGCTCTGTTGACGCTTCAAAATTGCTTATCATCTCCCTCCCTCCCCCTCTCTCTATCTCTCTCTCTCTCTCTCTCTCTCTCTCTCTCTCTCTCTCTCTCTCTCTCTCTCTCTCTCTCTCTCTCTCTCTCTCTCTCTCTCTCTCTCCCCGTAGCTCTCTCCCTTTTGAAATTCGCTTCCATAGAATTGGGCACCAGTGCTCGTTTGGCCTTGCGAAGCAAAATAAAAATCAACAACAACAACAACAGATACATGTATCGCTCTGTTGACGCTGCAAAATTGCTTATCATCTCCCTCCCTCCCCCCTCTCTCTATTTCTCTCTCTCTCTCTCTCTCTCTCTCCCCGTAGCTCTCTCCCTTTTGAAATTCGCTTCCATAGAATTGGGCACCAGTGCCCGTTTGGCCTTGCGAAGCAAAATAAAAATCAACAACAACAACAACAGATACATGTATCGTGAAAACAACTGTACATCTGGAATTGTGTGTAGCCCCTTCCCAAAGATGCCATAACATTTCGCGACTTATGGGCCATTCACACAACGCCCAAAACGTGGCGAACGTGACGTTTTCGTCCGGATAGCCATGACAACATGGAGTTTAGCGGGAAAATCGTACCCCTGATACGAAAACGTAGATCACGTATCCAGACCCCCGTACCGAGTTTCGTTCTGTCGTTCCCAGCAGTTTGTGTCCAAAAGAAGCTGTACACACAGCTGTACGAGCAGCGTGCGCGTGCCTGTGTGAATGCACCCGCATGAAAACGACGTCTGCCAGTACGTCGTATTCCCAAACGTGACGCATATTGCAACGTAGTATGAATAGCCCATTATGATGTATCTATTATTGCACGATTAAAGAGGTCAATATATGAAATATAGAACGAGTAAAAGACCGAGGTCCCCCGAGGTCTTTTACGAGGTCTATATTTCATATATTGACTGATTATGAGGGCAATAATAGATTTATCACGACATAGCATACCTAAAACTGTTTTTGCTTTGCTATAGGAAGAAAGGAATACTATTGTAATAGTATAATAGTATGTACATATGCCGTTTACATTGGACATTACTTCTGTGTAAACCGAAGTTTTCAGTTGTCTCTTGTAGTATGTTCCCCAAGTTCTTTGACTCAGAATCTGACAGTTTGGGTTCAAATCCCAGCATTTGGCTTCAGATTTCTCTTCTTTCAGTTCTGATTTTTTTCTAAGTTGAGGAAAAAGTTCTAAGTCCTCGGGCTAAGTGGTCAATAATAAGTGGTCCATATAAGCGGTCAATATATGCTGATATTTGACCGCTTTATATAATAGAGATCACAAGTTTCTGTGGGGGTCAATAATAAGAGAGTGATAAAATACATTATCGCCTTCTTAGTATTTGACCCCACTAATTTCCCTGATACCTAAGCGGTCAAATATATCGCGTATTTGACTGCTTACAGTCTGTTTCAAAAAGATTAGCAATCAAGTTTGGGTCTTAAAAAGTATGAAGATAAGGGAAATCTGGACAACAAAGTACATAAAACGGCTTGTTAGGGCACGGCAAATTGTTCTGTGAAGGTTTCGGAACAATTGGACCAACCGTTAAGGAGTTAGTATTTCGGCCAGGTTTCTGGCCTTTTCCCATGGTTTATAATTTGCCCTGGAAGCCAGTATCGATTTGTTATCAAAACCCACGATTTATCCCTTCCTTTTTGGCCTAGTGGTTATGAATGCTGTCTGCTGACCATGAAGTTGTGAGTTCAAATCCCAACAAATCTTCAAGTCAAACATTTTTTCTTCATTTTTTCATTGTTTTGGTACAAGACAAAGAAGGTGGCTGCGCCAAGCGACTTGTTGTTGGAGCTCGCGTTTCCTGCCGAACTGACTGACACTTGACTGGCTGACGCCATGTGAAGTTGGAACACACACAACACTGAAACCGTGTGAGTGAACACGGAAGTCATTGCGCTGTAGCTACGTGTTGTTGAATAAACCGGCACATCGCGATCGATCGACTCTTTCTGTTCAGAATTATTTTAGTATTTGAAGATCGCCAATTTATTTGAATTTAGGAGTCAACGCCGTCTTCTATCAGCTTTCACAGGCGTCTGCTTTCTCAAAATGTCGTTGAAGTCACACGGATAACTTTGCCACTTCAAGGCCTTGGGAATGAGTCTGTGTCGATGCCGTTTTCGTCACATCGTGAGAGTAAATTGCATCCGCGGCAGCTCAAAGAATCTATTTGGTCACAAAATGGATGCATCCCGCTCGTCAAAATTATTTACCACACTTTCGACATGTCCTCTCTGATCCACATCGATGCGAGGAAGAACTCGTTTGTTGTAAACCAGACGAACATGTACGAGTACCGACGTCAGTGAGTTGTCATTTTTCATGCTTTCGCGCGGAATATTTCTTCGAGTTCACAGTGAGTTTTTCCAGGCAGCGCTCGAGCGCTCATACGGTAAGACGGCAAACTCCCCGGGCGATCACCAGGATTGCTAATCTTTTTGAAACTGACTATAGTCAAATACGCGATATATTGGACTACTTATATTTGACTCCTTAGAACTTCTTGGACTTAGAAATTTTCTCTCCAACTTAGAAAAAGAAATTTTTGAAGAAAGCAGAAATACACAAGATGGGATTAGAACCAACAACCTTGTGAATCTCAGTCACTCTTCCTTACCACCCAGCCACTGTGCTACCGATACTGAACCTAGTTTAAACAATGATCTTGACTTTCAATGCAGTACAATGCGGTATAGGCTATAGTATAATACTATAATTACAAGGATATGTCATGTATGAAGAGAAACTATTGCGTGGAGAACACGATAAATAGATTATAGACCTCATAGTTGGTCTATACAGGATATATAGACCTCGTAAAAGACCTCGGGGGACCTCGGTCTTTTACTCGGTCTATATATCCTGTATAGACCTCCTAACCGGTCTATAATCTATACATATTACCGGTATGCTTTTCGTAACCATGCGCAAACGAGTGAAAGTGGCTGACATCGCATCCATGTTTTCAGAAAAAGGGCAAAGGTTGCTGATATCGCAACTAAAAATGAGCCCGTTCTTGTGAATACAATGATGCAAATAACAGGCAAGAAAACAGTGGAAGTACAATGTAAACAACACAGTCAGTGTACTGTGGCTCAGCACAGCTACCTGAGTAAAGTCATGAGTGCGTTGAAGCACACATGAATGCATAATGTTTACAGAGTAAACATGTTAGCAATGGAATGCATAATGGCATAGTATGCAGCCACCGTTTTCTTTACTCTATTTTATGCATTTATGGTTTTCTTCATTTAGCTCTATTTCACCCACTTACCTAGTGTACCATCTAAAAAGACCCACCGTCTGTGGGGTTTGACCTAGTAAAGTAGTAAATACTACTTCGAAGTACGGATACTCCTTATACGTGTGTTTTAACCTCTTTTTGGCCAAAGTTGGCTTTCCAAAGCGAGTGGGACTACTTCCAATAAATGAACTGTAGAAATGCTATGCTTGCACATTTTGTATTCTCCAACTGCTCACTTGATCTTCAATGTTCCCATAGGAGTGTGTTGATCTATTCAGGCTTGTCAACAAATCACATTGATACAGTGTGAATTGATCATACTTGTAAAATATATTCAATATATAATCCTCTGAAATCTGTTCTCAAATAGTTATACTCTTTGACAATTTATCGTCGTAACTGAAGGTTTTCGCAAGCTGTTGCGACCATCCAGACGTTTGGAGGCGGCAGCGGTCGGATTTTCCTGTCCAATTTGCGTTGCACTGGATCGGAAAGCAACCTTTTCGAATGCCCTAACATTCACAGTGCGGCAGGATACGGTGGCTGTAGCCACTATGAAGATGCTGGCGTTGAATGTGGTAAGACTGTGGGAGGCTATTGGTCACTAGGCTCTTACTGCACTCTATCAGTCTTCATCAAAAAGAGGCATACTTATCTTTCAATTAAAGGTACTTCAAAAGAAGTATGCGCATCATGTCTGACTGCAAGTGCAAAATATTTCGTTTTGGTATCCCTAAGGCAGCAAAATACCGCTGCGAAGCAGTTCTGGCAGCTTTCTTTACTCAACCATGGTCGGAAAACTAATAATTTCCGTTGGCTTAGTCTCCCTTTTCAATGAATCACTCAGCATTCTTTGAAAATAGTGCTATATGAAGCGTTTGAGAGATAGAGCTAGTATAGCGTAGTCATAGCAACAGCAAGAAGTAGCAGCAGAATGTATTAAATGTCTGCAATAAAACTTAATTTCCTCTCTCTGATCAGACGAATGGCAGTGCACAAGTGGCGGGGAATTGTATTGTCTGCATTTTGACATACAGATCATATAATGGGATCCATAATATATGGTCGCGCGGTGCAAACCTCTAACTAAATACCGCTTTGTCTGGCACCAAGGGTTGACCAGTAGTTACAAGTGTTGCTGTGGAGTACAACTGATGCAGACATGGGCCATGTCTACATCAATTGCACTCTTCATTGTTATTATGACATACGTTATACATCCATGACTTTACTGCCTACTCCTCCTCTTTGTCATTCTTTCCTTATCTTTACCTGACGGCAAATGTTTGTTTTGATGTGCCCTCTGGTGTGTGTGCATTAAGTGAAATTATCCACTTGCGGAGCGCCTCCCAGTTCTTCCCTTGGGAGCACAAACTTCACAACTTCTACTCCCGGATCGATAGCTCTGATCACATGCAATGGCGGGTACACATATCGTGGAAAGCAACCTTATCGCCTCTGCTCGTCCTATGGAATGTGGAGTGATCCCGTGGGAGATTGCGAACGTAAATATTATCTAAAAGTCATTGAGAGAGTGAGTGAGATAGGGAGAAATAGGGAGAGAAGACTGGATTTGGGGCAAGCGTGAAAGTTTGGGTTTCAGCTAACCCTCTCTGAACTATTTGCAGTGAAGTTCGCATCTGGAGCAGCCACTAACTGAATGTGTTTTGGAATGAAAGTGTGAGGAGTATTTCAACATTTTTGGCCTCTTTATATACTTCTAATACCTTATAACTTGCGATTGTTTTACCACTGTCCGAATTGTACAAATCTATTTTGATCCTGCTCCCAAGCAGTCTTTTTCCACAGAACAATTCGCTGTACCAAATGTTCAGAACTGGTCCATCATGATGCTGAAGCTTTGATTCGGGATATGGAGGGCTATAGATGGGTTCGGACTTTACTGCCTTTTAGACAAAGAATCATGTATTAGGGCATGTTCGATTGGTAAGGATCGGGATCGGGATCCAGATCTCAGATCCCTCGGATCCTTCAGATTCAACTGAACACTTTACTTTGGACCTTGACTGTTGCCATGTTGAAAATGGCGTTCACAAGGCACCCAAAAGGGTGAACGTTGTACTCATCGCGTAGAGGTCTACGTCGTACGAAAGGCAACACGCTCTAGCTCTATCTCCATCCTTGTGTGCGTACCAAAATGTGTACAAAAATGATTTTTACCCGCCATATACGCACAAAGGTTACATTTTGGATCCGTTGGATCCAGTCAACCCTGCTCCCCGAGGTGGGTTGACCGGATCCGGATTCGACCAATCGAAAGGGTGCGAATCCAGTGGATCCAGTGGATCGGGATCCCGATCCTACCAATCGAACATGCCATGGATCGGGATCGGGATCCAGATCTCAGATCCGTCGGATCCTTCAGAGTCAACTGGACACTTTTTTGGGTCTTGTCATGTTGCCATGTTGACGAAGTAATAAAAAGTCGTACTCGCCGTGCAAGTTGTACAAAAATTCGACAAGCTGTATCGCGATCCACGTGTGCGTACCACAATGTGTACAAAAGCGATTTTCACCCGCCATATACGCATAAAAGGTCACATTTGGATCCGTTGGATCCGGTCAACCCAGCTCTCCGAGATGGGTTGACTTGATCCAAATCCGAAGGATCCGGATCCGGATTCGACCAATCGAAAGGGTGCGAATCCAGTGGATCCGGTAGATCGTGATCCCGATCCTACCAATCGAACATGCCCTAAGACTTTCAGAGGTCGACTTAATTAGTAGTACGATGTTAAGTAGTGGCGTATGGTACCTTCATTTTGGCTTCTGTTCAAACCCCGTAAAACGTGTCGTCTGGTCGACCTCTTGCACAGCAGAAGTGCGATCCCAAAAACTGTTGTAATGTTTCCTTGTAGCTATTTCGATCATAAGCACCTCATCAACAGAGATCGTTAAAGAACGGAATGGCAAGAGTATGTGAAAATATATTAAATTATTAAGAGAATAGCTGCGATAATTAATCATCTTGCAAACGCTTGATGTTGTGAATTGAGTTGACAGTAGTACTAACACACGGACAATGTGTGCAAGATTCCACTGACGCGCATATAATTATACTGCATACATAGACACTTTTGATAATATTGTATGTGCACCACCTTGGAGTCGTCTGGTTGGTTTGAATGAGATCCACCAGAAAGCCCAAATGATGGATTTTGAACTAAGAAAAATGTTGGCTTGATGTCTTATTCGAACTCTCTGTGTGTCATGACACTAATGCAGACCGTTGCGGCCCGCGACATGCTGGGGTAAATGCGAACGTCGCATACTCAACATCGGTTTATACCAGGTATGTGTGCTGGAATAATGCAACATACGTCACTGGCAGTCGCATATCGAGATGTAATTCCTCAACAGGACAATGGTCGGGCGCACCCTACGTATGCCAAGGTGAGCCAAAGTCATACGCATCGGCCTCACTTCGGGAGAGTGGTACACGGGCTTTCAAACTGTACATGTTAACCCGGACCTTATCTCTTCCATGCGCACAGGTTGAACCATAACAAGCCAACCCCGTCCTTCTAACATACACAGTCCACAGTATTACACTCTATTGTTTGGTTGTATGATAGGCTTCTTGAATCCAATCGTCTTCAATCCAAACACGCAATCATGTTGTCTCCGCTGCAGATGTAACTTCGGTTTGGTAAAATCGTCAGGCGTGATTCATCCGAAAATGTCTTGAATATGAAGTTGCATTTGCTGCAAAGAAACCAGGCCTGCGCTTTTGGATTGAAGAATAAAAAAGTAAACAAATCAAGTTTCGCATTGGACGAGGCCGAGTGTTTCTCGCATCCGTATGGACGCCACCACCCTCCGTTGATCAAGGCGCAGATGCAGCTCCTAAAGCGGAGGGAGGTGAGTAGATCAGACCCACCACAAAGCGGTCAAAGACCGAAAATTCGCTGCATCCATGCTTCCCTCGTGCCAGGCCACGGATTCCCAATTAACTGTGAGTCGCAGCACGGCTGGAAAAAATTGTTCCACTTCCAAGCAGGACTTGAACCTGGTACCCTCTGTTTCTCAATCATGGTCTTCGACCACCCCACTATGCCTGCTGCAAATTTTTTCAATAAGTAGATAATATTTAGAACAGTTGCCATCCATATTCTGGGGATGTTTCTTGCACGAGCCCTAATGGCATATATTTTGCGTTTCTAATGTGAACTCGGTTGGCATTCCTAGCATCTTCCTTTACCTGATACATTCCTATAATAAAATTGTTTTCCATTATTTTTGCTGTGTTATAGTCCTTCCTAATGGCACATTGAATGCCAATTAGTTTGCTCATAAAAGAGATCTTTTTTCCTCACAGACTAAGGAGCACTGAGTCAAAATTCATTATTAAAATTTCTTATTATTATACGCTTGTCTGCGTTGACATCACCAAGCAAGCTTGGCTAGTCTTCGCATAAGTCAAATGAACAAAAGAAATGAGGAACGAGCGGGGCAAAAGAGGTGAACACACGCGTGCAACTGCAGAATAGGCAAAAGGAATATACATGTAATAAGACAGGCCTAGAAACACACGACATGTCAACTATTTACTTCAACAAATAAAACTGGAAACGGATGAACACAGGAATCATGGCAGCTGACGGTACATAGTGACAAAGCGACATAACACGAGCATGCTGTACACGATAGCACAATTCTACTTATAAACTACAGCCGAGAACCGCGTAGTCGAAAACTGAACAACATGGGTAAACCATTTGCACATGCACAAACAGTTTGAAAAAAGGTTCGAATGTTCAGGAAAATGACATTACTTGCATGACACATTGGCAGGACGAACAAGGCAAACTTCAAAATTCTGCAGCCGTTGCGTTGCTGGTGTTGGGGTTTCTTGAATTATTTGCTTTTTGTTTCCCTTCCGTCACATATTCTCTATGTTTGTGCTCAGACAAGGACTGCGGGACACCTCCAGCAGGTGTGAAGGCTACTGTGGAATACACGACGACACGCGTAAATGCAACAGCGTCGTTCAAGTGTCATCCTCATACTCGGCGCTCATGGGGTGACACTCAGCTAGTTTGCACTGAACGAAGCTACTGGCGGGGAACCACCCTGAGATGCGAAGGTACATGTTCTATGACACCGTCTATAATCATGTTGTATTTTCCAGGCTTTCTCTCATCTCATGGTTGATAAATATGGTGGTAAAGACACACCTGGCAATATGGCGGTAAACACACGCCTGCCCACACACGCTCTCTAGGCTGCAAAGTTCTGGCACAGAGCTCTCCTTCTCACCACCACCACCATCAGTTCGCGCCTGGCGCCTGGTCGATGCATGGCTGGCGGTATCCGGCATCGTAGGCTGGTACATTAAGTAGTGCATGGCACATAGATGATGACACAGCAACAACATAGCTCGATTGCGACGTACGTTTCGTCCCCGCTGGACTCATCAGGCCATCTTCTTCTTGGATGTCTTCATAGGGAGCTTGACTCGAGCGAATGAAGTTGAAGACACCACTGCAGTTGTACTTATGCTGCAGTGGTGTCTTCAACTTCATTCGCCTTTCTCTCATCTCAACTAGGAATTCAACACGGGTATGCACAGCATAAAGAAGTACCAGACGACAATCAAGTGGAAGGAGTACATTGTTTGCTTTCTCACCGGAGTATGCATTGTGCTGACAGTTGTCAATAACGCGGAATAGCGTTGCCCTTTGTTGTCCTGCGCAGCTCCCATCATCAAAAAATGAGAGTCCTCCGTCCCGGCAGAATGCTCAATAATCATTCGAATAGAGCTATTGTACACACGACACAGAGCACCACGCCTCAATTCGTTGTAACGAATAGCTTCATGCCCATAGGAAATTATCAGACAACTAATACTGGATTAGAAAAATCCTTCTCAGACCGAGAGAACAGGGTAGATCATGCAGATATCACTCCTCTCGTCTTCAGTACCTCCGGCATGTGTTGCAAAAAATAAAATAAACAAATTCACAGACTCGGCTGGAAGCCGGGTTTTCTGCATCAGCAGGAACGCCACCACCCTTCAAGGATCAAGGCGCAGATGCAGCTCCTAAACCGATGGGAGGTGAGTAAATTTAGCTGACCACCAAATGAAGTGCATGGATGCAGTGAATGGGTGCTGCAAAGTGACCATATATTTTCTTGAATGCACTGGCATCCCAACTAGTGGACACACATAGCGAGCTGTGTTACTCAGCAGTAATGGGCGAGCTCCGAGCCTTAGGCCGCGGTCACACCGAAACAAGCCACTTTGGGCATGCTATCTCTGGCGCTCAGCTGGCTCGAGGGGTCACACCAGACATCGAGTACAAAGCTTGATCAATTGAATGGTTTGGTTTTCCTCCGCCAAATTTTGAATAGTTATCTCGAAACACACCAACGTTCGCAAGAAATCGGAAAGCAGAACAGCGGTGATCTACAACTTGTGTTCAGTTTTGATGAAGAAGAAAAAAACTAAAAACAAGCAAAGGAAGCCCGGATCCTGAATTTCGATTTTGAGCTCTTTTTATTTGTAGTGTGAACATGGTCGGGGATGATTCGGGTGGAGGTGTTTCCTGATGTTGATCATTCTGCTTCCTCAAACCCCTTTGTGGAGCTTGATATTGAAACCAACCGCTTGCTGATGCCCACTGGTACATATTTGAGGACCTGTGACGCGTGATTAGATTGAGTGCACATACAGGGGGAGGGGGTGGGGCATTGTGTTTCCTGTATGGCTTGAATGTTGTTACGGAATCTCAGCCATTCCGTTCCCCGGGACGCAGGACACAAAGGACAAGACTAGTTTAGTTTACATAATTATTATTGACATTACGGAAATGGAGACAACACTCAAAGGGACGAACAAGGAGACTGACAAAAGGACTCTCGACTACAACATCGCGCATGCTCATATCACACATGCACGCGACTAGACGAGACAGTTTGGGGAATGCCATCACACGGGAAAACAACACATCATTTCACAACACCTGCCCCCTTGATGACATTCCACAAAATAATAAACCGACACCACGTTCCACATGCACAACAGCAAAAGGAACCACAGCAGAACAGAAAAACGAAAACCAACCATCAACCTAGCTAGAGCCGACGCTCTAATATCCGGGCCACGAAACAGGGCCAAACAAAAACCTAGAGCCGACGCTCTACGACCAGGCCACGCCACACAAGGCCAACCGAAACACGGGGGCCCGAAGCTCCAACAAAATAATAACATGCGCACAGCCGCACCAAATAAATCTACAACAAAAACAATGGAGAACAACAGAACGAATAGAAGAGCAACAGACCGACAACAACCAAACTGAAACAACACAGCAACAAGCAACGAACTGAACAGAGAGAGAACAACACAGCGAGCAAGACAACAAGACGAACAACAAGGACGACACACAGTCGGTGACGCCAGACTCGTCCACTGTCCTCTGGCGAGCCACGGCCACACGCTCCGTCGCGGTTCCTGCCGTCTCAGGCTCCAGTCCACAGTGACTGTTCTAGTCATCACCTTCTCTGCCTCCTCTCCGCGTCGTCTTCCGCTCCCACCAGCTCTTCACCTCCTCCGCTCCCACGCTCTGCTTACTTCAAAGTAACAGTTACTTCGTTGTAGACGACGATGAACAGACTCATGACAAACTTACTCATCCTCTGCGTCCCGGGTTTCGGCACCACGTTGTTACGGAATCTCAGCCATTCCGTTCCCCAGGACGCAGGACACAAAGGACAAGACTAGTTTGGTTTACATAATTATTATTGACATTACGGAAATGGAGACAACACTCAAAGGGACGAACAAGGAGACTGACAAAAGGACTCTCGACTAAAACATCGCGCATGCTCATATCACACATGCACGCGACTAGACGAGACAGTTTGGGGAATGCCATCACACGGGAAAACAACACATCATTTCACAACAATGTTCCCGATCGTAAGCACATGTTGATATCCAGATGATTAACAGTGGTTATATTGGACCCAATCCCATCATCTATGAAATCAAGTTGGGAGAGGTACAATCGCTGACGCTAAAAATGGCAAGACAATGGCAGGAAGAGAATAAAGACAGCACAGGAACGCGACAATCCCTTTCGCGACTAGGCATGTGTGATGACGACAATAGGAATGGGCACCTATGCACACCGCAGCGGAGCTCATTAGCAAAAAAAGAGTGTATCTACGCAACAACCTCTTCCTTTGCAAAACAGTGGCATGATATACAACTATCCGTGTTTGCTTTGAATCTCAGATATTCTTTGCAGCCGAAGTCCTACCATTCCCCAAGGAACAGCCTCGATAGGAGGTCGCACTATCGGTTCCGTTGCGGCTATTCGCTGTGATGAAGGATACACTCTAAACGTAACCGATCCAACACTGAGGTGTGAGAATACATCATCGGTCTCGGCTTCATGGACTGGACCTGATGCCCGCTGCCTTCGTAAGTATTATATAATTATGCACAAAGCACTATTGAATTATGGACGGTCGAGGTTTCAAAATATTTGGCCTGAGCCGTAGTGTATCGGTTTTGCTCCTACGCCAGTCAGGCAGCGGTAAATCGTTAAACGTGAGTTACAATGAGTTACTTGAAAAACCCTACATACACCATCCTAAGCATTCGCTGCAAAATACATTCGCTAGCGATTTTCGTTAATTTTCCTTAGGTCTGGTTTTAATACGTACCGAAGTTTCGAAAATTGTTCGTTTCGCCCTCGGCATGTCCACATTTCGTTGCGTTGTTGTCGTAGCAACATATTTCTCACCGGCGGGAGATTGAAAAACAATTGTACGGCGTACCTTTTTTGTGTTTTCTTCTTGTTTAAATTTCAAATTTCACCTAGAGAACTCAATCATCAAAAATTCGAAATGCTTTTAACTCTGTTCCTTCTCGAGGTACATAATAATATGATCCCCTTGGTCGTACGCGCTGCTCCGCTTGGGTTTCTGGGGCCGGTCTTCCGCTGAAGATTTCTCCCAAAGGGTCCTACAAGCATCGCCTCGCATCTGCTCGGCCACAGCCTTTTCCGCATGCTTGGCTCTCACCACTACCACTGCGGCTTGCTCCTTCTCGGCCTTCAGCTCCTGTAACTCGGTTAGAGGCAGGTCTGCGTCGGAGAAGTCCTCTACAATACCAAAGGCCGATGTGCTTTTGCTATCTTTGGATTTCTACTTCGACATCAGCAGGTGCAGCCTATCTGAAGCGCCTTTTTTTAAATTTGCCGAACCGCCGGTCTTGTGAGGATAGTTCATCAACTACATCATTCATTACGGACGAACCACGGACAAAAGGATTTCCTGATCCGCGAATCTGTCTGAGCAGGACCAAGTCAATGCCTGAGTCCCAGACTATCCGTTGCCTATCCGGAGTAATAACTGACGAAGGAACAGTCAGGTGCAGGCAAATTTGAAGCCATAGTACATAACTGACACGTTTACGGTCAGGGCTAAAAGAAAGAGTAGAGGGAAAAGTCTGAAAATTTTTAAACAAATCCCGCCAAACAAGAACGAAAACAATATTCGTTGAAAGTGGCTTTTCCGTCCAGATCAGACGAACTTCCGTAAGATCTTCGTAACCTCGTTCCCGAACTACGATTAGGGTGTACGAAAATTGTTAGCAACAGGTCTCTAATATCTCAATCAAATTTCCTGCCAGGAGCCATCATCGTTTAACGTGCATTATAATGAGTTTCATAAAAAAACATTTACCCACGCCATCCTCAATTCACAGGCTGATGGCTCCTGGCCAAATATTTGATTGAGGTATTGTAAATTTCAGCGACGAGACTACTTGAATTGAGGATGGCGTGTGTAGGGTTTTCATGTAATGAAGTGGCTGCAGTGGAGCTTGCACACATTAAGAAATTATAATGTGTGTGATAGTCTCTCAAGGATAAAAGTCATCGTTTTCCCGTGATTGAGGCCGAAATGTGTCCGTTCATCCACTTTGTGACGGAAAATCAAATTTTGACGATGAACTATATGTACACCACGATTTTTCCGTAGAACAACAGTAATCCAGCACGCTTTAGAGTTTTCAAAAATCTGCAATCTTGCTGTTCCAAAAAATCATAGTTCTTGTGAGACTCGGTTGGAGGCCGAGTTTTCAACATCCACAGAAACGCCACCACCCTCTAGGATCAAGGCGCAGATGCAGCTCGTAAGAGGTGGGAGGCGAGTAGATCAGATCCACAACAAAATGGTTAAAGTCCGAGAATCCCATTCACTGCATCCATGTTTCCTCGTGCCAGGCGACGAGTTTCCAATCAACTGCGGGTCGCATCACAGCTGGAAAAAAATCCTTCCGCTTTCAAACAGACCTTGAACCTGGTAGAGTGCACTCTGTTTTTCAATCATGGTCTTAGACCATCCCTCTACGTCTGCCTGCCAAATAGAATTCATTTCTTGATAAAGTTGTTTTAGTTCCTTTACGTTTCTCGGTCCAAGCAATCCCTTCATGGTCTGTCAGCAACAAACTTAACCACAGGTTTACAACTGTTTCTGGCATACGGGTAGGCTATCGTCAAGTTTTAATGATTAAACTAAGTTTTAAAAACGCTTTGTAGCTGTTTTTAGATGATCGTAAGTAACTCGCTGTGCTGCTGCAACCCATGTCATCTAATCTAATCTAATTTCGGTGAAGAGCAAAGACATCTTAGTTGTGAATATGAGCAGCTAACCTGTGTGGCATTATTACAAATCATATCCGCAATTCATTTCGCCAGGAACTTTAAAAATTCATGCATCTTGGGCACCCTGTAAGAAGACCTTAGGGTATGTTGGGAATACCCAAGTAAAATAATAAACAAAAATACGATATTCATGTAGGGTCTTGTAAATTAGTTGGTGTCTCTTGTCAGTGACAGAACTCTGACTTTGATCTTGGTCTAGCAATTCCTTTCTCCCTAGACGTTCACAGCATTTGGGTCAGCAAATCATACCTCAGCCTTGTTGGCGTGAGCTAAGAAGGTCGAAACAGCTTGCTGTCAGAGGATTGAAAAGATAAATCTGTGGTTATGCTTTTCGTTCTAATGTTTCAATATTTAGCGGAGCCACCAGGCATGATCATCAATGCTACAGGCGCTGACATTACTGTCACTGTTCAACACGCGCTGAGAAGGCCCAACATCTTGCAGTACTGTATTGTGATGACACCACTGACTCCATTAGCCGAACACTCCAACGAAACATGCCAGGAGGAGCCAAGCGTTGTTGTGCGGCGATTAGACACGAATGACGTCATGCAGTTGAGAGCATACGTCACCACCGATGACAACGAGACGAGCGAAGAGTCACGCGGGGTTTTCGTCTATCCAGAAATATCAGGTAGGCCCTGACGCTTTGTAGACGAAAGCACGGCTTAAGGTAATCTGCTGGGTTACTATGGACACCCTGGTTTTCGATTAGAGATAGCCGGATTGGCGAGAGACAAGTACAAATAATAATAATAATAAAACAGATCGCGTAATGAAGCAGCATTACGATAGATGTGCAAAGTCATGATGCCAGGTCTGCTTCTGTCCTGGGTTCACTACCCCGTGCGTTGCAGCCGCGAGCAAAATCAGCTCAGGATGGAAGTTCCCTTCGTGATCGCTTGTCCAAAGCGCGCATTCGGAGCCCACTCAAATTATTTTGATGTCTACAATAACATCAAATGAACGTCAAATTGGACACGGGTTAGGCATTCACGAAACTTGTTGTAATTACGACTTCCGACCTCTTTTCTGTTAATTACCAGTATTTAAGTGGAAATCTGCATAATACTTCGAAGTGAACAACCTTTGATTGGAGAATTAAGCACCAAACACATATTGCGTCATGATGAGTGTGAATTCGGTTGAAAGGTTCATGAGGTTTTTTGCAAAGGTGGCCAATACTTCAAAGAAGTATTATATTTGCATTTATGGATTCTCCAGACTACAGCAGATTTAATCTTTACTGCACCTGGACGTAGTTTGACTCATGTTACGCTGTCTCTTGTTTCTTATCTCTGCAACTATTTGTCAGAGCCAAGCCCCGATACTTCCCCACATACATCCAAGTCGTCATCGTCAGCTGAAGCAGGAGCGACAACAACGACACTGAACAAACAGAATATTCCATCTGCTATCCTGGTTGCTATAGTTCTACTAGTAGTTTTAGTCGTGCTGTTTGCTGTGACAACAGTCGTGTTTTGGCGAAGGTTTCGAACTGAAAGGGAACGAGCTTCCAGCAAGGCGTCTGGTTGGGTGGACAGCAATCCGCTGCAGCCAATCGTTGACTCGCAACCTGAAGGCGACACAAGGCTATTCGTTGACGCGAATACCGGCACCAGCGGTCAAAGGCAGAGGCAGGAGGGAGACACGAATGTATACACCAACGGTGCAAGCGACGGCAACGTTGGCCGTGGCCAGGAGTACGAAGATTGCGAGCCCGTCCAGATCGGAGGCGACCCGCGCTGGTCATTTGCTGATCCATGCCTCACATTGAATGGTGACATGAACGCTTGCAGTGGTCTGAAGGCTCCGCGACGACAGTCAGCTTCACCTGAGAGGTATACTCGCGGACAAGGAGCATCAGTCTTCACCCAGCGGTCTAAAGAGACTTCCAAGGATGAGACCATCGCCAACGAACCATACTACCAGTCACCACGACCTGCAGAAGAGTACGTCCAACATGAACCGGAGATGAGGCAGTGCCTGCCTCAGGGGGAATTCAGCGTTCTCCCTGATAGGCAACTTGATGAAGACGAACCCATGTATGTGAATCGCCCCCTTTGATGCGGAGGGTGTGATTTACTGATCCAGCCCATCAATCCGCCAGTTTATTGACCCGGTATAGTTCTTGCAGTAACCCAGTCGCTCGACCGGCTGCATAACCCATCAGCTTTTGTTTCTCTGGTGTACGTTTTAGACGACACTTGCGCTTGTCTTCCGTTGCTTTGCACTTCGCGCAATCGCATATCCCAGCATAGCAAACTAGCCGCCACCATAAACTGTACGGTAAACACTAAACAGGCACATGGTTTCCATGGAAATAACACACAGGATTGCTTCACACTAAAATTAGTAACTGGCGGCACGTCTGGTTTTGACCGACGTCAAAAGTCCCCTCACGCTCATTCATAACCGCCCACCATTATGTAACCTCGAATTTTAAACGTTGTTGTGCCATCCGAATAGGTCACAGGTCAATCAATAGTTCTGTCTAACTTTACAAGTTTTTCATGCATGTTCTTTATCAGCATCCAAGTCCTGGCACAAACAACCAAGAGCACAATCAAAAGAGACCCGGAATTTCTGATGGTCGCTGATAATTGTAAAAATAGAAGAAAAACACATGGGAACGAGTTATGAATTCGCTTTTCTTCTATTTTACATTAATTTTATCACTGGGTCAGTATCCGAGTCATTGATATTCTTCATTTTTCCTGATTTTTGTCCCCACTTTTCGTTAATATTGGCCAGTCATTTGGCATTGCTTTGCCACTGTCATGCTGATGATAAATTTCGAATCCCCAGCCAAGATTATTCAAGATCATGAGAATGGACGCCCACAGAATGTGTAAGATGTGAAAACTGTCGAGTCTCTAGGAGATTGAACAAGGGTTGCATTGTCTCCATTCACCTACCTTAGGACTTGATTGAAGAAACATCTGAATAACCACCACACCCTTGCATAGACTTAGCACAATGATGGTGTAGATCTCGCAGCAGATCTGCATGACAGTGACCTGGATACCCTTGCTCCAACGCTGGGTGCTACGATATACTGTATTCGGGTACAGATCTTGAGATGCGGATTGTAGCGCGTGTTGTAGCCGCAGTTAAATGACACTACCGATTGCAGTGTTCAGCGTGCAACGCGTACGAACCAGTCATGACCAACCTACATGTAGACGGCGTCTAGGGTTTCGTACGAAATGGGCTCTCTGCAAAATGAAGTATCACTGAAGAATAGGCCTCATGTCGGCGGAGATGCTCCAGCTTCATCACCACAGCTTCGACTGCAGCCACCTCTATCATGCAATATTCTGTTTTCGAGGTTTGTGGTTTATTGTGAAAAAGGGAAAACAGAACATACAGACATACAGAGGAGAGCAATGATGGCCTTTCAGTACATAACAATCAGCTAAGAACTCCACGCGGGATGGTAAAGGGCATGGGACAAACCAAGTTCCGCCGAGATAAATTATTAGGAAAACTGGGCATGGCCTTTCTCTAATAACCCTCCGAAATCCCGGTTAGGTTTCAAATGGGGTTTAGAACCACCAATAAGAATGATTCGTCACCCCGGAATTTCCGGACCCATTTGAACTGGATTATACCATAAACTGGCCTCTAACCACGAGACTTCTGATCCAAAATGGCTCAGTCACTGACGCTGTATGCACATCAACACGACACGTCAGGACAGCGGCATGCGCGTATGGTTGGTTCCCTTACATAGTGCTGCAGCCGGTTTGCCCGAGTTGATGTACAAACCAGATCTGAATCAAGACGTAGATAAGATCAACATAGCTCTGTGCTGTTACCGCGTACTGGCTTCATCAGTACCGTTCACCACTGCAACCCAGCCTTTGGATGGCTGCGTATCATTTATTTTAACTTTTTTATTATACAGAAGTGTTTTTGCATAATTATGGTGGCAGACACGCACCTGGCAACATGGCGGTAAATACACGCCGGACAGTAGTTATACAACAGGAAGAAAGGAAATAAATCGCTGAAAATACAGTCTCATGCGTACCATTCAAGCTTTCACAGGTACTGCGGAAGTCAGTACTGATTCACTACGACTGAACTCTGGCTAGCAGCGTCTAGGACAGGATGTATCGGCTGACAACAGATGTGCAACGCACTTACATGGTCTGGAGTCAGTAGGGCAACTGTTACTCACAGCTGCAGTATTAGGGGTTCAAGTAAAAGTAGATTCCTGCACGAGTAAGTGGCTCTAAGCAGCGAGTGACTCAACCTATGAAACATTGGAACGGTGATGACATAACAGTACTGCCCTTAACAAGCAAAGAGCAACTATTAGCCCTTTGTGAGTCCGCTGAAAGTAAGACAATTTACTCACCTTCAAATAACATGAACTTTTGCTTGTATCTCTGCCAGACATTCACCGATGTTTACAAAGTTGACACCGCTGGAAAGGTACAGTCGACCTACCCTTATAACGATAACCCCTATAACGATATTACCTTTATAACGATATTACCTTTATAACGATATTACCTTTATAACGATATTTTTCTGTCAAACCAAATCACTCCATTGACTTTTGTTTACAATGCCTTACCTCTATAACAATATTGCTATAACGATATTACCCCTATAACAATATAAATTGGGCTGACCAATCGACATTTTCCATTTTATAACAATATCCAGCAGGGAGTATGTAGAGTCCACTGTCAAGGTAGGGCACGCTTCACTTGATAAGTCGCTGTGACATGACGAAATGCAATTGGGGCACCAGTGGGCACCTTGCCATGTACATATTGTGCATGTACATAAGTTTTTGACTGTATGAAGAGTGTAAAAAAGAACGAAATTCATGCATTACGACGTATGTGTATGAATGAACCAGTTACCCTTATAACAATATTACCCTTATAACAATATTTCTTGGTCGGACGCAAATATCGTTATAAGGGTGGTCGACTGTATTTCCAAGACGAAGCGACTAATACCACACTCAAGCCAGCTACCTGCACGGCCTCTGCTCTGCGTGGCCTAGAATGCCGCTCAAAACTGCAGCCGTGCGCGAACAGCTCCCGCTAAGTTCAAACAGAATCTGAATTTGAGCGGCTTGGGAGGTAAGGGGTTATAACCGAAGATAAGTTTAGAAGCCGCCATTCCCTGCTGAAGACACAATGTTCCGGGGAATTCCCCACTGATCATTTGAGCTTGAGTAGATTTAGGAAATTTCTGCAGCGCCAGCACTGCATTATGTAGTGCTCTCCGAGCCCAAACATTAATATTCCAACCTACAGTGACACTCTGTATCCACGTGACAAACACATTATGAGCACCAGACAGCAGCGTGAGCCAGTGTCGCACATGGAAATGTGAGAACAGACGCTGAGGGCCGTTTTTGGCATTCGCAAAATCTTAGTTCGTACTGTTATCCCTGGCGCTGGAATGCGACTAGATGGTCCGAGTGTGACAGCGCTGCTACTGGAAAGTGTCCCTCAGCGTCTGTTCTCACATTTCCATGTGCGACACTGGATCAAGCTGTTGCCTGTTGTTGTTTGGCTTTATTTAGAGTGGAGTTCCAAAACAGGCCTAAACCTAATGACAATGGTCCCACTTGCCTCGTGCATACTAAGTGTTAATTGCGCTGGATACGGGGAGTCACTGTAACTTCTTTTCCCTAGTGTTTTTGTTTTGGCTCGGAGATCACTACAGTTGTAATGCAGTGCTTTCGGAGCAGAATATTCCTCATCCTACTCAAGCTCAACTGATGAACGTGAAATCCCTGAAACACTGTGTGTTGAGCAGAGAGAGGCGCATTGTTGCAGGTTTACCGGGTGGATGGCTCGACGGGCTTCTCGTGTACTCCATACGCAGTCCTGAGTCAGTCAAGTGTCGAGACAGTCGGCAGGAAGCGCGAGCTCTGACGTACGGATCACACACCTTCTTAAATCTGTGCTCGGCAAACGCTAATCCCAATCAAGACTGCTTTCATCATGAATCACACAGTCAGCCCGCCACTGGCAGCCATCGTCAAGGGACGAAAAATGTAGTTTTCATAGCTACGCATAAGCAAGCAAAAACCCTAGGACATACTAGCCGTATTAAATTGAATTAGCCTGTACAAGCTGACAAGAGAAGTGCGTTGAAAGCTCAGCAGATTTAGCGCGGGGACAGTAAATACTTGAGCCGAAATAGAAATAACATCCTGATGGTTCTGTGCTGCCGGTGCTCACCTACGACGTGTTTACTCCACTAGATACACTGGTCAGAAGGCGCGCTCACTTTATTTTTGACAAATCTCCACCAGTCAGTTTAACTAAACTGATGAAATTTGGTACATGCCGGTTTGCATGCAGTACATAAATATTTCTCTTCTTCTTACTTCAAGTATTTTCCTGGGTTTGGAGCAATGGTTTAAACGAGAAAGGTCTGAAGGAAAAGTGACTGACACCACGAGGACTTGAAACAGGGACCTTGACTTAAGGCTATATCGATGCTCCACCACTAAGTAATGTTGTAGTCGTCATCAAAACAGCGACCATCAGCAATTTCTTCAAACGTTCAAACTCGTACTTCACGTGAATCCACGCAGGCTGGTAGGACGCAGCCCCCACTGTATCCCGCACGCTTCATGTGAAAACTAGCAGTCGTGGAGTCCGAAGTATTTATCTTTTCATAATGAACAAGGTTTTCGGAGACAGCAACTTAAATATGGCAAACAAGAGCACTGACGTCTTCCTTTTACATGTACATATCACATTCACATTTCTCTTGTAAGTTTGTTACTATGTACCGCGCTTTGCTTGCTTGCCTCCTTCTTTTATGCCGCTGTTCTTTCCATGTCCACTTCATTCCTGATGATGGTCATAAAGACCTAAACGTTGTAACGATACCTCTAAAGGATTTGTGTGAAATGCAGTGCTCTCTTGAGTGTAGGCAGGTTGCCTGCAAACGACTCAAGTTTGTTACTATCGTAACAAGAGAGCTTGGAAGCGTTTTTGCCTAGCGAGAGTCAACTTTCTCTTTGCATTCGAGGGTAAAACGACACTGTCTACGGCCTTGATGACCTATGGAAAAAATTGTTGGGATCATGTTTGTCTCTTTCCCTCAAAACCAGTTAATATCATGTTATAAATTTTTCATTTCTCCTAATTAGGCGATAGTGCGGGATCGAATCCTAGGTTATGTACCAGGCATATGCCGATGCTGTCCTTGATGGTACGGTACAGGACAGGTACGAGATAGCGCTTGGCATGCCGATGGCACAAACAAACAAAACAAACACGGAATTAAAGCTGTGTAGGGTCCCTGGCTAGCGCCAGACGTTACTGAAGTAATGTCTTTTGCATAGCTACGGGAATAAAGCATGATCACGGCACAGTTAGTAACCTCGATTGGCATGCTATTCATAATAATCATTATAAAATTTTACTAGGGCCAGCCCCAAAGGCCGTGTAACTTCTCACGGGGTACCCTAACCAATTTCAGGTTTCATGACGGAATCTTGACACTGGTGAAGAGCAGTGAACAGCTGTAACAACAGTAGGGTGAGAAAAGAGAGGGACACAGAACCTTAGTTTGAGGTGATATTTAGGAGAACTGAGGCGCGGGAGTGAGTAGAGCGTCCAGGGGCAGCAGCTAAGCGGAGAACACACATCTGGCAGAGAAGTGGGCCTGAATTGCTATAGGCACAGCGATGAACGAAAGCGTTAAGCTTCAAATGATTATATTCTTTGAATCTTTGTATTTTTTATAAAAAAAATTGAAGCGGATGTCAATTGGTGAGAGGGCAACCAAAAACAACTCATAACGCCTGCTGATACCAAGTATATCATAGCAATCACCGGTAGCGAGCGACCATTATATCTGGGAAGCGATGTATCAACAGTTCAACACCCGAATGCTGACAGAAGCCAACGAATGGTCTATGACAGTGACCGGAATGTACTAGCTAGTAGTTCAGCAGACTTTTAGGAAGTAACAAAGGAATCCAAAATAACACCAGAGCATTCACAGAGTATGCCCTAGTGCGAGATTGAACCCTGCGTGTTCTATCACTGATATGGGCTACACACAGCTAATGAGGCAATGTGGGCGCTACGCATGGCCTTCTGCACGTCGAAAGTTTCAATATTAATTTTGTAGTAAAGTACTTTCACCCATTCCATCGTCGTCAGGCAGCCTAAACACTACATGTCTCAATTGTTTGCTGGAAGTGATTTTCATTGAGTTGTTGACTTTTAGACGTATATTTACTCCTTTGTGCACAGTCCGAAAGGGGAAAGAGAACGAAGGTCTGATAGTGTTTCTCTACGGACATGGCCAGAGTAAATCAGATGTGGACAGTGTGCACACTGATCGCTTTGTGCTTAATGGTCCAAGCTGGATCTTCTTTTGGTGAGTGTTCCTTCATTGAATATTTTATCTCCGATCTCAAGTCGTTTATTTTTTTAATTATAAATACTGGACTTGGAGTAACATCTGGTCAGCCATTAATTTAGTCTAGTACTGCTCTTCTTAAATTTGACCTTTATTACAAGACTCTTCTTTTCTTTTTAATTTCGTTCTCCCACTCTCACCCACACATGCTCTCAGTTAATTCTGCCATCGTGAGTCCCATTCGGGACGGATACGAGAATGATAATAATAATACTAATAATAATAATATCTTCACTAGTTTGAGGGAAAGAGACAAACGGGAAAAGTCTAAAGAAAAAAATTGACTGTCACCACCAGGACTCGAACCAGGGACCCTCGCTTGTAGCTAGCGATGCTCTAACCACTGAGCTATGGTGTAGTCGTCATCCCAATAATAATAATAATAATAACTGGACTTGGATATTTTACAGGCTACGTTTTATTATTGTAAAGCTTTCCTTTTTGATGTTGTCTCTTATTGTTGTGACCTTTCCAGAATATTGTGTTGCATTGAAAAAAACTCAAGTCGTTTCAACCATTTTTAAATTATGTTGAGTCACCTCCACCATTACACTGCGCTCTTTTGCCGACTAGACCCTCCTGCACACGACCACCATTGCGAGGACACATCCGTAGACGATATTGATAAACTCCTTCAGACAGCTGTTTCGCTAATACATAGCTCATCAGTGAAGGTAGATGTTGAATTATTAAAATATAGACCAAACTGCTATTATAATTTTGGTTTTCACATACAAAACTGGCATAGCTGAGGTGATAACGCGGGAAAGGGAAAGTGTGAAGTACTGTTGACGCGCATGGGACATGCATGCAGCATCAGTGGGGAAAATCAATCATTATGACTATCAATGCAGAAATAACGTGTATGAATCAGTGTACTGCGTAGCTAGAGAGAGTCTGTGTATAGCACTTGTCCCAGCGTGTCAGCGGCAGTGGTTGATGGGCAGATAACTAGGTAGCTTTCGGACAACATTGGTGGCATGAAGCCTAGTGACTGCCAAGCATCTTGGCGCGACGGGCGACCAGTACAGTGTCGGGATCGCGACAGTAGGGCGTCTAACAGTAGGTCGAAGTACCCCTGGGCGCCAGACTTGACGGCGTCTGTTACAATAGGGCGTCGCACCGTAAGGCGCGAGAACATTTTGCCGCGCAGACAGTAAGGCGTATGGACCACACGTCCCCGAGACAGAATGTCACCACTACCACAGGGCGTCCATTGCCTTTTGATTAATTTTTTCAATCTTCAAGTTTGCTGTGAATACAATGTAAGTTTTATCGAATTATTCTCGAAAGTAATGGTGGTCACTGACCGTCACAGCGAGCATGGATTGCATGGATTGTGTATAATTGACAAAATAGCTTGGGGACGCTCTTGAAGGTACCATCCACGTACCAGCTTTCGGAGGTTTCGAGTAGATTCAGATCCTCGTCTGTACTGAACAGAAGAAGTTCTTGTAAGTTTCTTGGATTTGGAGGAACATTATCGGCAGCAAGCGGTTCACGCTGGATAGATTTCAAGGGAAGATGCCTTAGGTAACGAGGATAGGCAATCAGCAGACAGATCATTCGTTGCAGCTCTCAGAACGGCACTCGTTGGCTCAATTGTCGTTGCGGCCCTTGTCCGTAGCTCCTCCTTGGCTTTCTCGACTGTGACACGCGTCGCATCCGGTGGGTGGCAGTGGGGAACGATCTTGAACACGTCATCCCTGACAGTTTTACAGCGTCCCTTGCATTCGCCTCGCCGCTCACACCTCCAGTAAGTCGTGTCCTGTAGTCCGTCCTTGCCCTTGGTGTACGAAAACCCCTCATGGATGAGGAGTCTCTTCTTCTTCGTAGTAGATAAGTGAATACCATCGGCTTGAGCTGCCAGGGTCAGATTCGGTTATCGGTTATGACTAGAAAATCAGAACATTGCTGGGGATAATTTGGGGGGGGGGACGTACCTGTGTTTTATTCCGAGGTGATTTGTTAAGTTATTCGACATGGGTCGACATTATACAGTTTAGCGCCGATTCGTCTCGCCTCCGACGTGTCCCAACGCCTTGATGTCTCAGTGCCCTCGTGTCTCAGCGCCGTGATGTCTCAGCGCCCTCGTGTCTCAGCGCCGTTTGCGGGCGCCGAAACGTCTTAGCGCCTTAAAATCTCGCGCCCTTTCGTCGTAAACCCGTCATGCCCCAGGGGCTGCTGTGGAGTCGTGAGGTGCGTTTGCGGGCCATCATGGTGCTCGGACAAGTGCGAAACACAGACTCTCACTAGCTACGCAGTACACTATTTCTGGCACGTTATTTCTGCATTGATAGTCATAGTGATTGATTTTCCGCGCCGAATTTCTGACGGTGCATGCATGTCCCATGCGCGTCAACAGTACCTCAGCTGTGCCCGTTTTGTATGTGGAAGCCTTATATAATAGCAGTTTGGTCTATATTTTAATAATTCAACATCTACCTTCACTGATGAGCTATGTATGAGCGAAACAGCTGTCTGAAGGAGTTTATCAATATCGTCTACGGAAGTGTCCTCGCAATGGTGGTTGTGTGCAGGAGGGTCTAGTCGGCTAAAGAGCGCAGTGTAATGGTGGAGGTGACTCAACATTTTCTTCAATGGCCGAGAGCTCTGTCGCACCTTGTAATAACATTGTTAGATTATTGAAAATAGTTTTTTTTTCTAATAGGTCAAACGCCCTACCCACGGGAAAAACAGAAAGCATGCACTCTAATAATTATAATGCATACCCCAGCTCGAGTTTTGACCTCCAGGTTTGAACTATCACTCCAATTGGAAATTTCACGTTCATCGTATTCCCTTAATTCTACTCCCGTCCTGTTCGAAAATAAAGTTGGCTTTGAAATGTGTGTTTGTGCTTTTAGCCACTACTAATGTACGTATCGTTGGTGGACCAAGTCCTTGGATAGGGAGAGTAGAAGTTCGTCTGCCAGATGGTACATGGGGAACCGTGTGCGACGATGCCTGGGACATCCAAGACGCACAAGTCGTTTGCCGCCAACTCGGGTAGGTAATTTTTTACTATTCCTTATTTTGCACAGTGACCCATGCCGGACAAGCAGGATCACAAGTACACGTATATTTAAAAGATACCGATCAAACCTTTATATGTTGCGATCTCGGCGGTATTAGTGATGAAGTTGGTTGGTCCTACTAGGAACACATCCTTCGGGCATAACTAGAGACTTGACTGACTCACGACTGCGCCATCCTGAGCACACAACGGGTATGTCCCACCTTCCACTCGGCGAACGTGCAAGAAAGTACCACTCCCTGTTCAATACAAAAGTACACAGTGTTTCGGGAGTTTACACCTTATCAGTTGGGTTTGAGTAGTCTGAGAAAGATGAGAGGTAAATTCCCCAACAAACTGTGTATGTTGCATGGAGTGGTGCTTTCTTGCTGGTTTGGTGAGTGGAAGGTGTGAAAAGCTCCTCGTGTGCTCCTGCTTTGCGGAGTGGAAGGTGTGACATGCTCCTCGTGTGCTCCTGCTTGGCGTAGTGGAAGGTGTGACATGCTCCTCGTGTGTGTTAGTCATAACATAATAAAATCTAACTACATGTACCAACCTCTCAATTCAGGAAGGTGTCCTGTAATGTTCGAGCTCGTTGCTTGCCAGACCTGCTAACCCGCGTGCCTGGCCTTGCTCAGACGGCTCAGTTATGTTTGCATACACGGTGCATCAATCCTTCCTCTTCTCAATCTATATGTTATAATTTTGCAGATGTATTCCCAGTAAGGCATGAACGGAGAACCCCCCCCCCGACTTAGGCCTCGGCCTTTGGGGAATCCATAAATAAATAAAATAAAATAAAAATCCACACGCTGATAATTCACAATCATTCTCTTTTTTACACGAAATAGTGATTGCGACTTCGGCGATAATTTTTTGGAGGAATGAGTTTGCTCCCACACTGGAGCTCGCGCTCGCGCTATTCCACCGACTTGACTTGACACTTGACTGATTCAGGACTGCCATCCAGAGCACACGAGAAATCACGTTTTCACACCTGCTACATGTTCCTGTCCCAGTCATGAGCGCGTGTTGTTATCACCTGACCTTGTTTATCACTTTTGTAACTTAGGGTTTGCCACGTTTCTATGCAGAATGAGCGCAATTGCGCCTATTTAGCCCTATAAAGATCAGTCTATTCTTATTATTCTTGCATTCAACATCATATGCCTCCACTGATGAGCTCAGGAGGAGCGAAACAGCTGTCTGGAGGGTCAATGTCAATATCAATCTAAATACCGGAATTGTCCTCACTGTGGTGATGGCGATGTGAGTGCAGAGTTTGGATCGGCCAAGAGCGCAATGTGGTGGTGTTATTTTTTTTACTATTATTCGCAAACCCAACTCGTAAAATAAATAATTATGTGGACAAGGTGATAGCCACTGTCATCTCGGCGTGACTATCACTCCTTCACTAAATTTTTCTGACCATATAAAATCTATCACCCATAAGTTTCGCAGTCGTGTTTTTCTGTTGCGCCATATGGCCCATTTCCTTTCTGCTTCAACCGTGAATTTGCTCTACAAGTGTTAGGTACGACCACTGTTAGAATACGCAGTCCCTGTCTGGTCATTCGCCGTATCCCATTCAGATTCGCTTACGTTAGACCGACTGCAAGCCGTTGCTGCTCGTTCATATCTGCTTTATAAGACCCGGCACCCTCCTGAGTGGGAAACCCCGAAGCAGATTCTTAATCGTACTTGTGACTGGTCATCCCTGAAGTGGCGTCGTCAGATTCTGTCCTTGCTGTATTTTCATCATGTCTTTTACCAGTTTCTGTCTTTGCTAATTCGTTTCAAATTCAATGTATCCCTTAGTTGTCGTCACCCGTCCTCTATAGTTTTACCTCGTTCTGGCGCCCATTTCCTTAAATCCCCACTCTTCAGTTTATCTGTGGAATGGAACAAACTTCCAGAACACATCCGCTGCGTTCAGTCCTCTGTCAATTTTCGCATTGCTCTAAAGGCTCATTACTCTCAGCATAGATATTCTCTGACTGGAATTCCGAACCTTTCCGTTTGAGAAATGTTTTTCCTTGAAATTAATCCTTGCTGGGTTTTTTTAATCTAAATGTCCCGCTATTATCTGCAGAGGTGATTTCGTCCCTCGTCGTTTTCTTTCCTGCTTTTATACCTCGATATTTAGGTACTTGTTTCCCTTCTTCCCATGCTTCATCTTCCACTCTCCTCTCCCCCATTTCCCCATTTTTCGTGCGATATTTATGTGGGAGACTTCCGTGATAAGCATCCATTTGCTTTTGGAGAATCCTTTTAAATAATTTAATACAATACAATACAATACAATACAAAAACCAACAGCTACTGATCAGGGGCTGCACTGGGCAGCAGTGATGGTGAGGTACCAGGGGCTCCACCGACCAAAGGTCTCGGCTTCAATGCCACAAGCACGCACCAGGAAAAAGAAACAGAAATGTAAAGGAAAGCTAGATCTAGCTATGGGGAAGTAGAATTGGTAAAAGTACCGGTAGGTATTTGAAAAACTAAAAACAAGATGAAAAGAGATTGTAAATTATCAGTTTTTGGACTGATGTACAATGTACATGTAAACTTCATCAACTAAAACTTATGAACTTTTTAATAGATCTGATACGAAACTCGCACAAGGAAGTGTAAACAAAACAAGCTAAAAAACAGAAAAATAATAAGGCACCCATTTTGATTATCCAGGGGATGGCCCACGTCTGGTAAAAGAATAAACAGAGAAAAGAAAAGAATCATAACAAGTTTTTTGCATGTATGCAAAACAAGGCCAGGTACGCGGATTAGCGGGTCGGGCAAGCGACGAGCTCGAAAAATTACAGGGAATCTGTTGCCCAGTACCAGTTGCTGTCTCTCAGGTGTCTGTAGACCTTTGTCTTGAATGTGGTGTATTGGATTCAATAATAACATTAATTATAATCCGAGTTTCAAATAATATTAATAATGAATAATCTCTCTCTCTCTCCGTCTCTCTGTCTCTCTCTCTCTCTCTCTGTCTCTCTCTCTCTCTCTCTCTCTCTCTCTCTCTCTCTCTCTCTCTCTCTCTCTCTCTGTCTGTCTCTCTCTCTCTCTCTCTCTCTCTCTCTCTCTCTCTCTCTCTCTCTCTCTCTCTCTCTCTCTCTCTCTCTCTCTCTCTCTCTCTCTCTCTCTCTCTCTCTCTCTCTCTCTCTCTCTGTCTGTCTCTCTCTCTCTCTCTCTCTCTCTCTCTCTCTCTCTCCACACTATACTTTTCGCTATATATATATTTTCAATCGTTTTTGTTTCTCTTCTTCTCCCGATTTTCTGATGCGTGAAGTAGGCGCGGATGCCGAGACCATTGGTCGGCGGAGCCTGCAGCACCTCATCACCACCGCTGCGTTGCATTTGCAGCCCCATTCAGTCAATGTCTTGTTAGTCTGTTGTTTTGTCATTTCCTGCTTCTTTCTTCTTTTACGAATTGGGTGCGTGGTTTCAAGTAAAAAAAAAAAAAAAAAAAAATGAAATTAGAGGCCACATGCCACGTACTTGTCTTTTCTCTCCGAAACTCAACACTTGCAAGCCATATATGAAAGAAAGAAAAAAATCATCGGTCACACCACCGGGACTCGAACCAGAGACCTTGCTATTCGCGAGCAATGCTCTAACCAATTGAGCTAAAGTATGACTGTTATCCACGGTGATGGTAAATCTATCCTTCTTCGAACTGAAACTATGACCTGAAGCGGGAGATTTCCAGAATTTGCTCCCTCACCCAGGTTGAAGTGGTCCCTGTGGTTGTCTGTGCCCTGGGAGGCTTGGTGAGAGAGACTCCTCAATGCCTTCGGACTGTGCAGGAGGCTATCCAAGGTTCGGTTAAAATTCTAAGAACTGTCCTTAACATGTAGATGCACACCTGCTGCGTTTTCATGTTCAATAGCCAAGAGACTTGAACAACGACTGATAAGATATTTCCTTTCTTACTCCCTTCATTGGTTGATGTACTTTGATTTAGCACTATAGGTGTGGCAGATTAAGGCTTTTGCACGTGGCTACAATTTGCATAGTCTATGCTTGTGTCCTAGTGTCGGCTTTTTTCCCTTGTGCTACTTCAGAGCGGACTCTAGAGGCGACAGTAATAGACTGGTTCCGATTCCGAATCCCAATGTCAAAATAATCCCCATAACAACATGATTCGGCTCACCAAGTTTCGAGCTTTGACCGATCTCAACGTCCTTATCACAATATCTGTCGCTGCAAATTCTTTGTTATTGTTTTGATGTTGGAGTTCGGATTGAGTATCTTCCCTTTCTTCCTTTTTGCTTCCCCTATTTGTTGTCCCTTTGGTTTTTAGCTTTTTATTTCTTCACTTTCTTTTTGCTGTCCCACCCATGGAAATATTTTCCCGGTGGGTCTGGCCCTATCGCCTTCGAAAGAAGTGAATAAGGAGACATAATAATAATAGTAGTATTGTTAATACACACAGTTCGCATCTTCCCTGAACCTGTTACATAGGAGCAGATTCGACGCATCTGTCAACAGTGTCAAGCCACATTAGTCTATCTCCTGCAGCTAAAAGAGCGCTCTCCACGGAGATGAACTGCTGCAGATTGGGAATATTCATGTTGAGAAGAGTCGATCATTGCTGAACATGTTCCAATTTGATCCTCCTGCGTGTGGGTGGTGTTAGATAACACTACACTGCCATGGAGTATAACCGGGAGAATGCATGCGATGTAGTTTGGAAACAGACAGGGATATTGAGTTCGCGGCGTGTTTTTCTGGATTTGCTCATAACATTATAGGTGGCATGTGAGCTCCACAGGAGGTTTGTAAGGCTAATCTTTGTTTGTTTGTTTCTATTCTTTATTTAGAGTGGGAAGTCCAAAACTGGCCCTAGCCTAATAACAATGGTCCCACTAGTGAGGGAATGTTGTATATCTGTGCATAAGGATCAGTTAGTGTAACAGCAACTAGTGGGGAAAGAAAAAGAGAGAAGAAAAACAACTTAAAACAGGAGTTGCGACTTGCATAGGAAGAAAATAACGGAAAGAGCAGTGCATACAGCATTTATAAAGAGGCTTATTTATCTGGTAAGCAAAAAGGGAAGAGCCATTGACTTAAAGCGATTGCGTTTTCTTTCTTGCCTGACCACAGCGGGGAGCTGGTTTCATAAGATGGTCCCAGCATAGGTAACACGTTTGGCAAGGTATGCAGTTGGCTGGGACAATCAGTAAATTGCTGTGCCCACCACGAGTTTGAGTGGAATTACTGCGGCTGAAAAAGTTAGCGAACAACATACTGATGTTAGAGGGGACATGGAGACAACGCCAGATAAAAGCCAGAAGGTGCATGTTGGCGTATGTGGTCAATGTTTGGATGTTCATGCGTGTTAGAATATTGCTTGTGGGTGTCCCCGGAGGTACCCCACAGACTGTCTTGAGGTTGCTCCCCTTTCCGAAATGACTTGTTGAAAAATTGGGAGAGTGATGGTGCTGCATAATATTATCCAGCTGTCTGATGAGTGTTTCGTCAAATGAAACTCTGAGTAACGGCAGAAAAGGATTTGGTTGTGTCATTGCTGGGTTGGTATTATCCATACGGAAGTAAACAGCTTTTGCTTCTCAATATGTCTCTTTTTGAAGCGGAGCAACTTGCCTCAGACAGAATGCACTGGCTCGACGTTGTCGACAGATGCATGACCCTCATTTGATTTTTCATATGGGGCTATAATGCGTGCTGTATTATTATTATTAAGTAGACAATTGATCGTTACCCGTATCCATGTTCAATGATCCAATTCTCTGCAATGGTGTCAGAAATTGAGTTGAATATACATTATACCCATTAGTAAGTATGCAAGATTCTGCAACCGGTAGTGCTGCTTAAGATGATGTTCAGCATCATTGACCTGTCATTACACACTGTTTCGAGTGCTGATTGTCAGTTTTCTGTCAAATCGTCATTTTATCTATGTAGGTTCGTGGCGGCATTGGCTGGTATTCAGACCTTCGGAGGTGGCGTAGGCCCAATACTGCTGGACCAGCTAGCTTGCACCGGGCAAGAAAGCGACTTGTTCCAATGTATTGGAAATCCCGTGGGCTTCCATGACTGCGTGCATTACGAAGATGCCGGCGTCGAATGCGGTATGTTAGTAACGTTGTTGTTATGAATCAGAAGGCGCAGCAGCGCCAGAGGCCAACATAATATAAAAGGATAGATTATGGAATAGGATAGAATGAACGGAAATTGGGAGTTGAAAAGTGATATGCAGATATGTCAAGTATAGTGGAGGAAACATTTCACGTTCAAAATAAAATGGGCAGAAATCGTAATGAAACAGAAAGGGCTGATATCATTAGGTATAACTATAAAACTCGGATAATGAGCCACTATGAAATGTGACATAGAAGAGAAAGGGATATGGAAACGAGTTATGAAGCAGCTATCCAAGATTGTAACAAGGTAATAAGCAGTCAGTACGTGCGATACCAGGGCACAAAACTGACAGGCCATTGAGACATTCAGCGACCTAACGCCTAGCCCTAACACATCTCCAGTGCGCAAACCAACAGCCTTCCAACTTGGTACGCTGCGCTCACCTCCCCCTATTTGGTCCTACCCAACCATAAACCTTTTTAAAAGATTCGGGACACTGCTTCGCGGCGCTCTATTGTAACAAAATAAAGGAGATGATATCATTGGACAGCACTAGGTCACACTGCTTTTCCACACAGTCAATCGGAAGTTGTGAATTAAACGTTTCGGTCACTGTCAACATATTTCTGGATAATGAAAACGAATTCATGCACTAAATAGAAAACCTTAGACACACTACCTTCAATCCAAGTGGTCTCTTCGCTGCAAATTAGATAGATAGATCTCAATCAAATATTCGGCTAGGAGCCATCATTAGGTTGAGGAGAAAAACAAGTGAGGTGGACCTATAACAAGCAACACAAAGTGGACCGAAACTACACCATACGTGATAAAATTGCACCATCCTTTCGGCACAGACACACACACATACCTTTGCACATGCCAAGTCACTGAGACACACACTCATACTTTCACTGGCACCAACACTCACACTCAAACAAGCTCACACTCCAAATCACACCCACAACCACACACGTGTAACTAAAGACACACACAAAAACACCAATATACCTGAAAACAAGGCGTGAATAGGGGTGGGACTATGACAAAAAAAAGAGATAGAATTCCGTTGCCAAACTGCACTTACGCAACAACATTGTGCTGAACTACCAGTGTATAACAATGGCGTGAACAAGCACACATGACAACAGGACAGGACAGTGGCAACAGAAACAATGATCATCATCCAAATTTTCACATTGTCAATTGTCAAGCAACACCCAGCCACAATCACGGTTCACCTTAGGATGGTGTCTGGAGATGTGGATTGCCTCCCTTATCCGGCGGTTCACGCATGACACTTCCGCTGCGAGTATGGATGGTGATGTGAAGGGAATGAATGGGGCTGTGGATGGATGTTGTAGTGGTTGGTACAATGCGTAGTGCTCTCCCCAGGGCTTCTGCGGTGCCCCGCACATCCTAAGGTGAACCGTAGTGTACATCTCCAGACGCCACCCGAAGGTGAACCGTGATCGTGGTTGGGTGGTGCTTGACAATTGACAATGTGAAAATTTCGGTGATGATCATTGTTACTGTTGCCACTGTCCTGCCTGTTGTCATGTGTGCTTGTTTACGCCATTATTATAGTTCAGCACAATGTTGTAGCGTAAGTGCAGTTTGGCAACGGCATCTCATCTCTCTCATTTTTTTGTCATAGTCCCACCACTATTCACACCTTGTTTTCAGGCACATTAGTATTATTTTTGTGTGTGTCCTTAGTTACACGTGTGTGGGTGTGGGTGTGGGTGTGATTTGGAGTGTGAGCTTGTGTGAGTGTGAGTGTTGGTGCGAGGGTGAGTATGAGTGTGTGTCTCAGTAATTTGACATGTGCATGGGTATGTGTGTGTGTGCCTATGCCGAGAGGATGGTGCAGTTTTATCACGTATGGTGTAGTTTTGTTCCACTTTGTGTTGCATGTTATAGGTCCACCTCACTTGTTTTTCTCATCAAACCTGATGATGGCTCCTCGCCGAATATTTGATTGAGAATTCTCGTAATTTGCAGCGAAGAGACTACTTGGATTGAAGATGGTCTGTGTCAGGTTTTCCATTTTAATGAAGTGGCTGCAGTGGAGCTTGCGCACATTAAGAATTCATGCACTAAAGAATTATGTTCTAACCGCACCTGTTAACTGTAGAAATTGTGTGAACGTCAGAAAGGGACATAAAGAGTGATAAAACTCTTAGATTTTCGGGGCATGCCAGGTATAATTCAAATTATTGATACTTCCGTAATAACGGTACTAATTGCAAGGTGCTTGGAGTGATCTACTTGCACACATACATGTGGTATTCTGCAACAAGCTTTCTTTTAAAATCTCCTTTTCAGAAGCTGATTGCGGCCCTCCGCCGGAGGGTACAAAGTCTGCTGTTGCTTACTCCTCGACGGAATATACCTCTACAGCGTCGTACAACTGTCTGCCTGATACTCGGATAGTGAAGGGTGACAGTCAGCTTGTTTGCGATTCTCCAAATCAATGGAAGGGACTTCCGCTGATCTGTGAAGGTACGAGAATGCAGACAAAAATTCGTGTGTATTTCGGCAAGTTCTTTCCCCTTGTCCTAGCGCACGGACCAAGATGTAAAAAGTACACGATACCAGCGGGGGATACCCTGTACAAGTTCAGAATTATAATTACATAGCCCAGCCAGAGCAGTCGACATCTGCGAGAGACAGTGGCGGAAAAGGTAAATGTCCGCCTATTGAAGCTGTTGGTACCTTGGCTAGCGCGAGATGTTACTGAAGTAACTATATTTGCATAGCTACAGGACTAAAACATTCTCTGTGATATCTTAAAAGCAATTTATACCAAGAGATGAGGATGAACCTCCCTCCTAAAACATCGTCAATTAGCGTAACGTAAATCTCCTGCTGTGATGCTGTACTTCCTGTGCGCGCGTTCAATTATAGTTCTCATGGTATTTTTCATATGACCTGAATGATTTACCTGTAGATATCCTATGCAATGAAACGTCTATCATCTCCAATAGCTTTCTCAGAGTTGAAAAACGAAGCATCGATTCTCTTGCTGCCATACGGTGTGATGACGGATTTAGTTTCGATGGCGAAGACCCAAGTGTAACTTGCGAGAAGCTCTCAGCCGACTCAGCCGCATGGAGCAGTGCCAATGGGAATTGTCTACGTAAGTATGCTCAATGGGGCTTCAAGCATCCCGTACACGTGGCTTTGTTATCAGCAGGAACAACTACACTAACTTTTTACACGAATTCGATGATCAGGTCTTCTTAAACTCCGATACTTGGCGTTTGTAATCCAATTTCCTCGTAACAGATATGAGAAAAATTGGAGGAACTTGCAGAACAATATCCCGAAGATATTTCCGGCCCTTTAAGAATAATAGGATGTCGGGCAGATCCATCTCGAACCAGGTGTTGATAGCATGCGTGTGAAAATATGTTGAGGTCGTCAATACGTTGGAAACACACTGCGTTTGTGAAACACGGCAACCGATAGCGAAAGGCATTGGCTGGGTAATACCGGTGTGTGGGGTCGGGTTAATTTCCGTTTTCAATCAAGTTTACCCTCAATCATTTTTTCTCGTTCACTGGGAAAAAGTTGGTCTGCTACATTTTTATTCACGTCCCTTTCCCTCCCCTCTCTCTGTGTCTCTCTCTCTGTCTCTCTCTGTCTCTGTCTCTGTCTCTCCCTCTGTCTCTGTCTCTGTCTCTCTCTCTCTCTCTCTCTCTCTCTCTCTCTCTCTCTCTCTCTCTCTCTCAACATATTCCAATTTTAACTCGGATACTGAGCCAACATAATCTAACTAAATTAGAATGAATTACATCGAAACGAGTTATGACGCAAATTTCCACGACTGTAACAAGGTAATAAGCAGTCAGAAAGTCTGACTGCTTATTATCTTGTAACTCGCTTTCATGTGATTTCTTATATTCTAATTACCGGTACAGTCGGTATCGCCTATAAGGTTGGCGGCTATAGTAATATACTGGATATAGTGATCAATTTCTCAAATTCATTTTCATTTGCCATAACTAAGTATACACAGTTATCGCGTATAGTAATAATCGTCTATAGTATTATATCGCCTATAGTGATCAAATTCATATTTCAAAAGACGTTTATTACACTATTTTTGCATCGGTTATAGTGACTGATGTAAAATCAAGCGATGTAAGAGGAGAACAGGGTGTTACTTCTTCGTGAAGAACTTGTCCAGTGAGTGTTGTTTGGTGAGTTTTGCTTGTACAAGTTGCCAAAATATGCCTCCATCATGAGGAAATGCTGATTTTGTGTGTCAGGAGCTACAGCCAGCTACATGACATTGTACATGTATGTAGTGCGTATGTGCACGGCGCGCTGAGTCGTTTGACACCCCACTCGCATACATTGCATGCAGTATCGGTCATAGTAATATATCGCTTATAGTGATAAAATGCTCAAAATCAAACACCAACGCTATAGGCGATACTGACTGTATATCCGAACTGTTATCATGGCATGGACTTACCCTCCACCAGCCGCTAGATGTTGACGCAGTCCGCACAATGGCAGCGGACCGACAGGCATGGCGTGGAGCCCGCCCCACCTAAGGGGACTGACCAGACATGTTTCTATTATATTTTATACTGACGTCACTTCTGTCATTTCATTGTATCGTATTACTCTTTAGACATCAATCCTGAATGGCATAAGCGAAAGTGGCACCCCCGCCACCTACGCGGACATGCTTTTAATAATAATAATAATAAATAACCGAATTATCTTTTGAACAGGCGAGGAGGTGACAACAATTTAAAGGTTGGCAATGAACAGAATCATCTGAAGCAACATGTTACGAGGGTTTTATTGAAATGTAAAGTGGTGATGGACAAATAAATAACTGTGATGAAAAGGTAATGTGAAAACCAATGCTTCCTGACGACCTTTGTGCGAAAGCTAGTTAGATGCATGTTTATATTTTTCATCGTTCCTATTATTGTTTTCACATTACATTTCGACAGACGGCTAGATGACAACAATTTTAAGATGGCAATGAACAGAATCAGCTAAAGCGACATGTTACGACGGTTTTATTGAAATTTGAAGTGGTGATGGACAACGAAATACCTGTGATGGAAATGTAATGTGCATTTTGATCTACAGAATTCGCCTAGGTAAAATTCCCATTCATCTCTCCGTATTTAATTGGTTTTCTCTGTCCCGGTCCACTCGTAATAGTCTCTCACTTCCCCGTGCTAATTCAGCCGCATTTACCAACTCTCCTCTGTTTTTTCCTACAGCCTTTGGCTGCAACTTCCCCAGCATGTTAAGACATCAAAATGTCTTTCCAGCTTTAAAAATGCACTCCGATCGCATAATGTAGTACGATAGGATCTCATTGCTGGATTCTTGTCTATCCTTCATTCTTCTCTTTTTCTATATTCTTTTTCTTTTCTTGCCGTGGTTGGCTATCACCCCTCTCTCGCACTTTGCGTGCCAATTGGTCATGGACCACGAGTTGAGTGAAATAAATAATTAAATAAATAAACTCGGATGGTGAGCCAATTAAATTATTGTGAAAAGAAGAAGGAAAAAATGTTACACTGGGTACGTTGGTGGACAGTTAGTCATAACTCGTAACATCTTGTGCTTCTTCCTTTCGAAGTGTAATATGAAAACAATAGTAGGAACGATGAAAAATATAAACATGCATCAAACTAGCTTTCGCACAACGCTCACCAGGAAGCATCGTTGTACTGATTAACAAACTTGCAACACAGATTACTATAAAGGATCAATAGTGACACTATTACACCTTAACAATGCCAACACATTATCACAAGGTATTTTTGAACGATATCATGTGCATGCGTGAAAGGTAACAATCGAACACTCCAAGGGGACAAAATTCAACAGGTATGAAACCACACGAGTGACAAAATTCTTGCCCAACACGGCCAGACGAACACAGCATTCTACTGGTTGAACAATTTTAAAAAGATAACACTCTCCTTTTGAACACAAAGGTCAGGCTTATGAATGCTTTGGAACACAGCCTCCAAAACCTTGAAACTGATCACAATGACGTCCACGACAGAGAAAAATGAATCAGAATACACTTGGCAACATTCAGGGCGAGATACCAAATGATTATACACAGAAGACTTACGAGGTCGAAACGCACGCCCACACTCACTCTCACACTCTCCCAAACCCACCCTTTCTCCCTCACTCAACTCACTGCTAGAATCTCCTCCGTCAGTTCCGTTTCCGTTGCGGTCCTCATCGCTGGCGGTCACGTCCACTGTTGCCGTCACGCTGGGTCTCCTCCTTTGTCGTTGTTGGTGGGTGCTTCCTCTGATAGAATGTGTTGTGGTGTGTGGTGTTTAATCCATGCGCTTGGGTGCTGAATAGTTCTACCAACATACCGGCTAGCACAATGCCGACATTTTGGAGAATAATTTAAAAAATAAATAAAGACTAAAATTCATGTACACGTACTGCACTGCGAGAGGTATGGCTGGGCATTGCCCGATCAATCGAACAAACACCAAATTTTATTATCCGTGTTATGCTATATTCAACTCTGCAGCTCTTTCACCAAACATCACTGTTAATGTCACAGACGACAACATGTCGCTCTCGATTGACCATGTTCACACGGCGCCGCTGATCCAGCAGTACTGTGTCGTGGTGGCCTCACTGACCAGCGATAATGAAAGCGTCGCCGAAAGTTGCCATGAAGGCCCAGACGTGGTCATGGAGCGATCCTCTGCCGTCATTCAGCTGAGGGCGTACGTAGTCACGGACGAGAACTTAACCAGCGAGTTGTCACCTAGCGCTATTGTTCTTCCCATCCCATTAGGTAGGTTCGTATACAACTGTGCATGCTAGGTGTTCTCCGTAATTTGAAAACAATGCATGTTGAATAAGGCCATTTACTGGTGGAAGTTGTTCTTCCTGCATAATATCTGTATTCGTTACAGTGTAGTGTGTTTCATTCTTGACAAAATTCTATGGAAAAGAATCAAAAATGACCCGGCCAGTGAAATACTCGACGCAAGGTCTCCACTGCGATCATAGAGTTACACATCTGTCTACGTATTCCTTTGGTGGACGAAATCTTGCAAAATCTAAACACTGGAATATTTTAGAGGTGACTTAAACAGACATCTGCCTTATAACATTAAACCGGCTCGGGGTGAAGAAAGTGAAATTTAATTCATATGAAAATAAAGCCAACGGTGGCATTTTGTTTTGTTCCCTTCCTTCCAGGCCCAATTCCCCGGGAGTCCTGTTCTTGTCCGGTGGCTTCGTTTGTCATCATTGCTGCAGTTGTAAGTCCGGTCGTACTGGTTGTAATATTCGCTGTGGTGATTGCCCTTCTCTGCTGCAAGCTACGTTCTGGCGTACACAAGACAACAATGAAAGATGTTGACAATGCGGGAGTGTTTGCCTTGTCTCAGCCACACCAGTGCGAAGACTACGATGCGCTAGATGATCACAGTCAACGCGATCTTGTGAGCAAAGTGTACGATCAGGAATGTCCAGAGGAGCTGCGCGAAACTGATCTGTACGTAAACCGTGATATTCTGGACGAGGTGGGGCATGTCGATGGTGTGCCGTGCGACTCGGTTGACATCTCAAGACATACCACAGGGCCTAGCATGCGCTATGTTGTACCACCTTCACGTTATGCCATGCAACCATGTGGATCTGTCCAGTGCATGACCATTGATGAACAGACGGAGACATTCTGCAGATACACTGTGCTCCCGAAATCACCAGCCCAGACTGCCTCTCGTAATGGAGCCAACGATTCACGGAAAACACATGGCTGTCGTAGTTCCATCCAGGCAGATACTCCCCCGCCTCTACCCCAAGATGAAACGGAAACTGTGCCGCCGCAAGCCCCAGCCCAAACTGCCACTCGTTATCGAGGCAACGATTCACGGAAAACGCCTTATTGTCGCAGTTCCATCCAGGCAGATACTCCACTGCCTCTACCCCCGGATGGAACGGAAACTGTGCGACCGCAAGCCCCAGTTCCGACTGCCGCTCGTTATCGAGCCAATGATTCACGGAAAACGCCTGATTGTCGCAGTTCCATCCAGGTGGATTATCCGCTGCCTCTACCCCCGGATGGAAGGGACAACGTGTCGCGGCAAGTCCCAGCCCAGGCTATCAATCGAAATCGAGCCAACGATTCACGGGAAACGCCTGACTGCCGCAGCTCCATCCGTTCGGATACACCACCGCCTCTACCCCCAGATGAACCGGACCTTCACTGCCCAACTCAAGGGTATATGGATTATTCAACCACAATATATGGTAATGTCGCACAACATGATGAACCCATCTACGTGAATCGTCCCAACTGATGTACTACTTACGTTCCATTGGGCCCAAAACCAACTGCATACTGCACTTCGTCTGCTGATTTAAAGGCAACACAAAGTCTATAACTCACGGTTTCGTACAAGCCTGATCTCATTATTACTTTCAATATATCACGCTTCATATCGCGGACACATTCAGTGGTTTTTAAATCAGCTGCATACTGCACCTCGTCTGCTGATTGAAAGGCAACACAAATTCTAGGACTCACCTTTTCGTACAAACTGCACATTTGCTGGGTTACTGAGCTCATATTTCTTTCAATATTACACCCTTTATATCGCAGACACATTCAGTGTATTTAAACCAACTGCATACTGCATCTCGTCTGCTGATTGAAAGGCAACACAAATTCTAAAACTCACGTTTTCGTACAAACTGTACATTTGCTGGGTTCCTGATCTCATATTTCTTCTAATATTTCGCACTTGATATCGCGGATAAATAAGTTTTTCGTTCCATTTATTTTATCTCTAAGCAGTTTGGCACGCACTGATTAGCACTCATACGTACACTTATCAAGTTCGATATTAGATCTTGCATAGCGAATGCCGAATTGAACCTTTTGCGTATGTGCTTTACATAATTATTCATTTTCCCTCTTTTTCCGCGTTTGAGTTCACCCCTCCTCAATTCGATTGGCTGTCTAAACATGCTACGAGGCACAGAAATTAATAAATAAATGAACAGCCTTTTGCCTACGTGTACGCATCGGGTAAGCGCACCATGAGCTGACATTCGGTGCCATTCTCTGGAATAAGTCGCCGGCTGAAGTTAGATGTGAATCACAAAAGGATGAGTTTAAGAGCACCATCTGACACTGTATTGAGTCGCTCGTCCCTACCTCTTTCTGTCTTAGCCTCTAGAACCGCTAGTTCTTCAGTTCCCTCTTTTTGTGCACGATTGCCTTATTTGTAAGTTCTCACATCTTTTCTGTACCATTGCCTTATGCTCTATTTACATGTATGTGCACCATTGCCTTCCGGAACGCTGTATTTTTTGTTTTCGCATCCTTTCTGGACATTTCCCTCCAGAAACTCTTTATCTGTAATCGAGAGGGAAATCTTGCATAACAAATTAACTATCATAATCCGACCTCTTCATTATTCATTTTTCTAACATCTTTCTCATACATATTCATATCACAGATTTCTCGTCAGATTCAGATCTGAATCAAGACATAGATAGGATCAACATAGCTCTGTGCTGTTACCGCGTACTGGCTTCATCAGTACCGTTCACCACTGCAACCCAGCCTTTGGATGGCTGCGTATCATTTATTTTAACTTTTTATTATTATACAGAAATGTTTTTGCATAATTATAGTGGCAGACACGCACCTGGCAACATGGCGGTAAATACACGCCGGACAGTAGTTATACAACAGGAAGAAAGGAAATAAATCGCTGAACATACAGTCTCCTGCGTATCATTCAAGCTTTCACAGGTACTGCGGAAGTCAGTACTGATTCACTACGACTGAACTCTGGCTAGCAGCGTCTAGGACAGGATGTATCGGCTGACAACAGATGTGCAACGCACTTACATGTTCTGCAGTCAGTAGGACAACTGTTACTCACAGCTGCAGTATTAGGGGTTCAAGTAAAAGTAGATTCCTGCACGAGTAAGTGGCTCTAAGCAGCGAGTGACTCAACCTTTGAAACATTGGAACGGTGATGACCTAACAGTACTGTCCTTAACAAGCAAAGAGCAACTATTAACCCTTTGTGAGTCCACTGAAAGTAAGAAAATTTACTCACCTTCAAATAACATGAACTTTCGCTTGTATCTCTGCCAGACATTCACCGATGTTTACAAAGTTGACACCGCTGGAAAGGTATTTCCAAGACGAAGCGACTTATACCACACTCAAGCCAGCTACCTGCACGGCCTCTGCTCTGCGTGGCCTAGAATGCCGCTCAAAACTGCAGCCGTGCGCGAACAGCTCCAGCAAAGTTCAAACAGAATCTGAATTTGAGCGGCTTGGGACTTAAGGGGTTATGATCGAAGATAAGTTTAGAAGCCGCCATTCCATGCTGAAGACACAATGTTCCGGGGAATTCCCAACTCATCCTTTGAGCTTGAGTAGACTTAGGAAATTTCTGCAGCGCCAGCACTGCATTATGTAGTGCTCTCCGAGCCAAACCGTTAATAAGGATTCCAACCTACAGTGACACTCTGTATCCATGGGACAAACACATTATGAGCACCAGTCAGCAGCGTGAGCCAGTGTCGCACATGGAGTTGTGAGAACAGACGCTGAGGGCCATGTTTGCCATTCGCAACATCTTAGTTCGTACTGTTATCCCTGGGGCTGGAATGCGACTAGATGGAAATGTCCCTCAGCGTCTGTTCTCACATTTCCATGTGCGACACTGGATCAAGCTGTTGCCTGTTGTTGTTGTTGTTTGGCTTTATTGAGAGTGGAGTTCCAAAACAGGCCTAAACCTAGTGACTATGGTCCCACTTGCCTCGTGCATACGAAGTGTTAATTGCGCTGGATAGGGGAGTCACTGTAACTTCTTATCTTATCCCTAGTGTTGTTGGTTTGGCTCGGATATCACTACAGTCGTAATGCAGTGCTTTCGGAGCAGAATATTCCTCAGCCTACTCAAGCTCAACTGATGAACGTGAATTCCCCGAAAAACTGTGTGTTGAGCAGAGAGAGGCGTATTGTTGCAGGTTTACCGGGTGGAAGGTTCGACGGGCTTCTTGTGTGCTGCAGACGCAGTCCCAGTCAATCAAGACTGCTTTCATCATGAATCACACAGTCTGCCCGACGCTGCCAGCCATCGCCAAGGGACGAAACTGTCGTTTTATAGCTGCGCAGAGTCAAACAAACACCCTAGAACACAATAACCGTATGATATTGAGTGCATGTGTTCGAATTAGCCTGTACAAGCAGACACGAGAAGTGCGAGAAGCGCGGGGAGTGTGTGCGAAGGTGTACAGAACAAACATTGCGATTAGAACATGTCACAAACACGGCTAGATTAACATCTTAGCTGTGTGAGTGCTAGCGCTTTCAACGGCCATCCGAAGGAAATACTCATCTCTGAATGACGCTACGGAAAATAAATTATTTTCTGATCTATCTTCTGTCCATCCGACCCCACAGTAAGTACTTGGGCCTGAATAGAAATCACATTCTGATGGTTCTGTGAAAGGAGGTCTCAGCAGCGCCAAAGCGAAATAAGCCAGGCCCAGGAGACAAAACATTATGATATCCGAAACAATTCTTGCAAGAATCAGTTCCAAAGACGGACTTACTCGTGCATGCACATCCGGAAAGGACTGCAACAAAAGGTCTGCCGTGCACACGCACGAGGCCAGCCACCCGATGGTAGGGGCCATGCAGTAGTAGAATAGTCCTACTTGATGCAGGAACAGAGCACCTTTGTATTTGTATTTATATCATTATCTCATGGCACATCATAATGACGGCCAGTAAAACTGAGACAAGGGTGAAAGCTAACCACAGCAGTAAAACAGATAAAAGAATACAAATAAGAGGCAAAGAAGGCAAAGGAGGAGACAAACCAGCAGGATATACATGGAACCTATAATTGAGCAGAGATTTTAGCAACAAAATTTTCCATCGACGTGCTGGTCTTGGCCTGCGTTGGTAATGTCGCCCAAAACACATAGCCAGCAAAGATCGGGGATCTAGTGAATAGGGTGGAGGCAGCGCGTGGGAGACTGAGTGAGTTCCGGGTATTCCGTGTTTCGGAGAACCAATTATAAGCCTGCATATGCAAGGGTATTTTATTTAGTAATATTTTATGTATGAGACCACAGAGGTGGTACTTATGTCGAGTGGAAAGGGGACTGATCTTGGCAATTTCGTAAAGACTAGCGGAGGGAAAGCGACCTTATGCAGACACTTACGTTGACAACGTGTCAATAGCGGTGCCTTTAGCTCTTACATTGCTGTCATGGCGTTTTGGACGAAAACATCACGTAGGCAACGTTTTGTTATGTGACCATAATTATTAATAATAGATAAACAGACAGGATCGCTTTTCTAAATGTGTTTACTCACAGACGTCTATTTAAAAGGTTTGTGTGTGGGTTCCCCTGCAAGGTGTCTCTAAAGAATACATTTCGGAGTGCATGCATAAAATACCGTTCGTGTACATGTGCTGTGGTCATGATGTAGCTCTGCCACAGCCAGTACAGGTACGCCTTGAGACGCATTACACTGCACTGATAGCCCTTACCCAAAGATGCCATCATTTTTCGCAACTTATGCTTTCGCAACCGTGCCAAATCAAGCGCAAGTAGTTGCAATCGAATCCATGTTTTGCATACACTGATGCCAAAAACAACCAAAGAAGAAGTGGCAATAGCAGAAGTGCAGCGACAGCAAACTCTATACTTTTTTAGTTTTTTTACATAGTTTTTTCAGGCATCTTTCACGGGAAAATTAACACAATGCTTTAAAATGCAATAAATCATACACTGGAGAAGAACTCAGAAAAATGCACGTGTAAAATAAAGAATTTCAAACCCAAACCAAAAAAACTTTAAATTAATTTTGTTATAATAAAATCTATACTCCTTCCTGCTGTGAAAATGTGATAACGTTACACAGTACAAGTACAGTTTTACCTGGTGTAAGCGTCTTTCCTTATGTATGTAAACGATCTGGCAGAAATGGATCACACATCACTATATGCTGATGATACAGCACTACTTGTGACAGCACCCACTCTCCCCGAGGCTAGTGCCAAGTTACAGTCCAACATAGATGGCGTTATTCATTGGATGGAAAAATGGAAATTGCAACCCAACTCTTCGAAAACTGCTGTAATGTGTATCCCCCCAGTTGTTCCTGTGACCTATCTTCATTAGTACCCAGTCCCTTCACCTTTCCAGGCACCACAACCCCGCTCTGCATCGTTGAAAAACACAAGCATCTTGGCGTCATTATTGAACAACACTTAACCTGGAAATCCCAGATCGAAAATTTAGACCGTGTTAGCTCAGTAATGGGATTTCTCTCATCACACATCACCCACTTGCACACCGACTGTCGCCATGTTATCTACACATCGTACATTCTGCCTATTTTTGATTACTGCTGCATAATTTGGGCTGGCATTTCTAAAACACTGATTGCTCGACTCGAAGTTATGCATAGGCGTCTTTTGAAAATATTATTTCGGCTTCCTCGCCTGACTCCAAGCGCAGACTTATACCACCTTGCTTCTGCTGTGCCGCTCTCGGTCCGCGTGCGTTTTTTGGCATGCCAGACAATTCATAAAATTAAGCTGGGCATTACTCCTCTTCATGCTCTCTCCTGCCTAAGCTGGTTTGCTCAATCTCAAGACATGCGCACCAGAAACTCTCTCCGCTTCCCTATTGCGCGGTCTGCCTCTATGCAAACATCTCCTCTCTTCCTTGCTTACCGCCATTGGTCTCTCCTCCCACAACATCTAAAATCCTGCCAACGTTACAGTACATTCACACAGCTACTGCAGAATGCAACATACTAGTTGATATCCAGCCCTGCCCTAGCTTCTTTTGCTTTTCAGTTCCCCTTTCATTCTTTTTCTTTCCCCCCTCTAGCTGTATTACCGCCATGGCTGGCTATCGCCCACATCACCATTTCATTGGCTAGTGCCACGTGATTGTGAATAAAAAAAAATAAAAAAGCGACCTCTGGGTTTAGCGACCACCTGCTCTTTTCAACAGTTTTCCATGTACGGACTGTTCTATACAGAAACTGTGGGACCTGGTTCTAAAGACCAACTGGCTTCAACGACCGCTTTTGGTTCCACCGTGGGGTGGTCGCTTAAACCAGGTTCTACTGAAGCGGGTTGAACGCTGCCTCTACCCTTTCAGTGCACGCTACAGAAAATGCACGTAAAGCAACTGCCGCAGATCTAACACTACTGTTTCTTTGAAATGAGTCTGAAGGCACACGAGAATCAAGCCTGAAATCTAATTTTCACCAGTTGTAGTCTTCGGGGTTCTGAGTCGGATGGTCTTGTTCCGAGGAAGCTGAGACGCTCCCTTCCTCCTTTATTCCCAATCTAACTCGCACACTTCCACCGAAACTGGGTGGATGCACCCTAATAGATGGGGATTTTGTTATGTAAAATGTCATCAATAATGCAGACAGCCAGACTGTTTCGGCCAATGAAAAAAGTGCCTTTTCGTTCTTATGAAGGAACTGATTACCACGATTTGC